AAACTCCAAGTTAGCAAGGTACATGGAAAGACTATCTCAAAACAAAAAGGACTCCATGTTGTGCTTTAAAACAAACAACGGAACCTGGTGGCTTGAACCTTTGCCCTAGCTCTCTGCAGACATGTTTCTCTCTGAGTTCAAGGCCAGCCTGGTCTACAGAGTGAGTTCTAGGACAGCCTGAGCTACACAAAGGAACTGTCTTGAAAAACCAAAATAACAAGTACGTAAATATATAAAAAGAGAAACATTCTGATTTTGTTAGAATTGGCTTGCATATTCATACCAGTACAGTAAGAAGACTAATTGGCCCCCAGAGATCCACGAGGAATTAAAAAGCCTTTGAAGGCTGAGAAATACCCCAGAGTCAGCCATCAGACCTCAGTGAGGTGTCCAGAAATTTGGGTGTACCTTGTTCTTACAGAAGTCATCAAAGTATCCTGAGGTTCCTAGACCAGCCTTGAACTCAAAAGCTTTGACTGCCTCTTCTTCCTGAGTGCTGGAATTGAAGGTATGCCCAGCTATAATTCTTTTTATTTATGTATCTATATGTGTGCCCCCAGAGAAGAGGGCTTGGGTCTCTGGAACTGGAGTTACAGCTGGCCATTGTTACAATAAAGCTGGAGGGGGAACCTTGGCAGATTGCATGGCAGGGGAGGGTGACCCAAACAGAGGAACAAACATGCCAGGCAGACAGAGTTTAAGTGAGAAGTTTTATTAGAAAGGGAAGGAGGTGGGGGTAGGAAAGAGAAGAGGTAAAGAGACAGAGAGACACAGAGAGAGGACAGAAGAGGGAGACAGGAAAAGTCCTGTCTGCCCCAGGGAACAGCAGGGAAGAGAAAGCAGAAAGAGAGAACAGAAAACAGAGCGTAAGCAGGTGGAGTCTGTCTTTTAAAGGGGTCCTTTGTACCTTCATGCAGACGACAGCAACCATGGATCCCTGGGCTGACCAGGGTACTGCCTGAGTGCATTCTGCCAGGTGACAGGGGCAGGCCAGCATAATGCCTGGATCCTTACAGCCGTGAGTCACCCAATGTGGATGCTGGAAAACAAACTCAGGTTCTCTAGAAGAGCAGCATTGCTCCTGATCCATCCCTCCAGAGGCTAGATTTTTTGTTTTGTTTTTCAAGACAGGGTTTCCTCTGTATAAGCCTGACTGTCCTAGAACTAGATCAGGCTGGCCTTGAACTCAGAGGTCTTCCAGCTTGCCTCTGCTTCCCATGTGCTGGGATTAAAGGCATGCATCACCACCGCTGGTTTAGAATTCTTTTTTAAACAAGAATAAATAATCAGTGGTAAGGAAGGTTAGCACACACCAAACCCTGGGTACAATCCCAGTACTCTGCAAAAAGGCAAAATGTTGCTTTATCTTTGATCAAAAATGGAGGTGATGTTTGTGTTTCAACAGAGAAGCATAACACATCTGTGCAGCTTATCAGATTCCTTAAGTCCCTTTCTTCTTTCCTTCTTCTCCTATTAAGACAGGGTCTTGTGTGCCCCAGGTTGGGCTTGGACTTGCTACAGAGCCAAGACTGGCCTTGAATTCCTGAGCCTCTGGCCTCTACCTCCCAAATGCTGTGAGTTCAAGCATGACGGTTGCATATCCTCACTCCAGATTTCAGATTCTGTTTTTGTTCACTGTCTTTGAGGATTTATGACTTACCCATGAATGGATTTCACCCCGTTTTCTTACATGCTTTGTTGATTTTTTGGGGGGTGGGGGTGTTCACATAGCCCAGACTAGCCTCAAACTTGCTATGGAGATGAGCATGGCTCTGAATTCTGACCCTCCTGTTTTACTTTTTGGGTACTGGATTTCCAGAAATATCCCACTATGCCTAGCTTTATTAAGTGCTAGGGATTGAACCCAGGACCTCATGCATGTCAAGCAAGCAGTCTGCCATTTGAGCTACATTCCCCACCCTCCATTCTTCCCTTCTCAAGTGAGGAAAACTTAAGGGAAAAAGAAAAGACGCCCCTTATCCTAGGATCTGAAAGTCAAGAAACTTCAATACAACTGATAATGCCAAAACTGCCTACAGAAATAAGTTTTCCTAAAAGCATTGTAAATGATGTTAAAACAACTGGGCCAGGGAAGACCACTCAGTTCTGATCCCCCAAACCACTTAAAGCCAAACATGGTAATGCGTGTCTATAATTCCAGTGCTATGAGAAGAGAGAGAGAGCCTCAGAAGCCTGTGGGCCAGCTGAGGTAGCATGAACAATAGTAAACAAGAGAAAAGACACTGCTCAACCAAGGCAGGTGAGAAAAGACATCTGAGGTGTCCTCAGACCTCCGCATGTTCATCATGGCATGTATTTGTCCATTCTCCCACACACAAACACATAGACACTTTTAGAGCCAGGCGTGGGCTCACAAATGTCATCCCAACACAGGAGAGGCCAATAAAGGAGTCCTGGTGCAAGTTTTAGGCCAGCTTTAAAAAGAGGAACCAATAACAAAAACACCCTTTGTTTACTTATATCCAGAATGTTTGCAACTTTGCATTTCACTGTGTTAGTACCCTCTCATCCCCTAATTAAAAAAAAAAAAAAGTACGTCATGGCTGGGCAGTGGTGGTGCACACCTTTAGTCCCAGTACTCAGGAGGCAGAGGCAGGCGGATTTCTCTGAGCTCGAGGCCAGCCTGGTCTACAGAGTGAATTCCAGAACAGCTGGGGCTGTTACACAGAGAAACTCCGTCTTGAAAATCCAAAACAACAACAAAAATACAAAACCCCAAAACAAAAAACTTACTTCACAAGACCATCTTACAGCTTCATTTGCAAAAAGAAAATTGTGCCCACTTTTTTTCAAAGACAGGGGACCCCATTCTGTGGCCCAAGCTGGCCTGGAAATCACTATGTAACACAGCCGGGCATCAAATTTAGGATGGCCTCCTGTTTCTGCCATGCTTGATGCAGCTACCCTGTCCCAGAAGGATCTGCAGACTGAAGCCTGACAAAGAAACTTTAGAGCCTTAAACACACCAAATACTCTGTGGACACCCTTCTGCCTGGAGCCACAGTTGTATGTGCTACTTGGGAAGTCCTCGACTGGGTTCGGTTCTTGAAAGGTTCAGGCATAACGCTGGCCTGCCCTGTTACCTGGTATAATGCACTCAGGCAGCACTCTGGCCAGCCCAGAGTTCCATGAGAACCAGTCTGCACTCAGGTGCAAAGGACCCCTTTAAAAGAACAGCCCCCCCTTACTCTCTCTTACTCCTCTCTTACTCCTCTCTCTCTCTCTCTCTCTCTCTCTCTCTCTCTCTCTCTCTCTCTCTCTCTCTCTCTCTCTCTCTCTCTCTCTCTCTCTCTCTCTCTCTCTCTCTCTCTCTCTCTCTCTCTCTCTCTCTCTCTCTCTCTCTCTCTCTCTCTCTCTCTCTCTCTCTCTCTCTCTCTCTCTCTCTCTCTCTCTCTCTCTCTCTCTCTCTCTCTCTCTCTCTCTCTCTGTCTCTCTCTGTCTCTCTCTGTCTCTCTCTCTCTCCTTTCCACCAATAAACTCCACGTGGGACCTTTGACTCATGGTTCGTGTCTCGTTACTGGGTAAACTTAGACATTTTAACAACAGTTCATACACTGTTCTGGGAAATGATCATGCCTGAAATTTCGTGGTGGCTCACTTTACCTCATACACTCAGAGGATACCTGGGAAACCGTCCAAATTGCTCCTCAACCTTCTCAAAGACACCTGGCATCTAGACACGTGTTCAACACATGTCTGTTGGACTCAAAAGCTAGTGTGTAGCAAACCTTTGTCTGTTGTCTCAAGAATGACCTTCACAAAATCCTTGTTCCTGCCAGTTAGCATATATTTTTGTCCTAGTACAATTAGTCCTTGTGAGGCAAAGGGTCATGGAACAGAAAATGGACTTCTGTTCAGTAAGAAGGATGTCTGTCCCCCCCTGGAAAAGTGTTCTCTCCTGGAACAAGAGAGCTCAGCCATATTTGGTCAAGATCCTTTCAGAGCCTTAACCATCTCTCTGAGCTCAAGGCTGCAGCCCTAGAGCAACTTCAGACCCCAGAGTGTCTGCTTGAGAAAACTCATGATGGCTGACCCAGTTTCCCCGAAGCTAAAGCCAGAGGCCCTAGCCTCAGCTTCTGTGGGGGAATGGGAATTAAGTTCCATAAGCCCAGCAGCAAAACCAAACCATGAGGAGCTTGCATAGACCACCCTTCCCTTCCCCTCTCCCCTTCCTCCCTTCCCGTCCCTGATTGTTGTAACTGCTTCTCTTTATTAACTTCTGCAGTTCCTATACCCTTCAGAACCGCATCTTCTTGGTGCCACCTCTGCCCGAACCTGATGACTCGGCGAGCAGTTCCCGTCAGTGTTTCCAGGTAAAATCTGCCCCTCCATTAATTAGGGTAGTGTTGCATCTCTGTGACAAGCTGTCCTCTTGGGCCCTACCCCACCACAACTTCCTAAAAGAGGCTACCATTACTCGTGGCAGCTCCCACTGCATTCCTAAGGATTGGAGCGCCAACAACGACTCCAAAGCCCCTGGTTGGAAGACTTCCTCTTTCTATCACACTGTCCCAAAGCCTGCCCTAGTGCTCCTCAGCTTCAAGCGTAGCCCATTCTCTTGCAAGGAGAGACTCTCAGCAGTTTCCAACTCCACTGACCACGCCCTGCGCCCGCTAACTCTGACCCAAGAACTAAGTGAGACCCTCTCCTGAGGGGCCAGGCCCTGGATGTGCCACACCCTGTCCAGGTTAAACCCGGCTCCAGGGCCAGGCCCACCAGCACTGATCTCCGAGCTCCCCGAGAGAAGTGTGGAGGTCTGCCTCGATTCAGCTACCCGCAAGCCAGGATCAGACCCCTTCCCAAGAGTCCTCATTCCCCAGGCCCGGCCCACGCTCCCGTAGGTTAGACCCAGTACCCAGGTCTGGAGAACCCTCGCCCGAGCTCAGCGCCCTTCCGCCCAGTCCCAATTCCGCGGGTGCTGCATCCGATCCCCGGGTCGGAGCTCGGCGCGGTGCAGGCGCCCCGGCCGCAGCACTCACCTCGCCCAGGCAGCGCACAGGTCTGGCCCACGAGGCGCGAACGACTCAGGCAGCGCCAAGGGCAGCCCCGGCCGCCTGAGGTCCCCGGACCATGGCGGCGATGGCGGCGGCGCTGCGTGGGCCGCTTGCGCGCTTCCGGTCGCGGACACGGGTCTGGACACGCGGGACACGGGGCGCGGCGAATGCAGTGGGAGGTAGGGTGGGGTCGTGGGCCGTGCCCGAGGAGAGGGAGGGATGCCTGCGAGTGTCCACATGGGGTCGCGGTGGCGGGGCTCTGCTGGGATGTGTCCCGTGGGCGTGCCCACGCAGGACCGGGAGTCAGACCAGTGTACTAGGCAGGAGGGGAGCCGCTTTTAGTCGGTTGCTCCTTCCCAGGTGACTAAAATGCTGGAGGTGCCTTGCCTGAGGTCCTGTCCCCAGTATTAAATATAGCCCTGACTGGGATTTGACATATTGGCCCGCAACTCCCTACTTGCAGGTGCTGGGGGTTTTTGTTGTTGTTGTTTTGTTTTGTTGTTATTTTTTGGTTTTGCCCCTACACCCACCTGCATGTAGCCCAAGCTGGCCTCAGATGGCCTCGTTAGTTGCCACTGACTTTGGCCTTCTGGTTTCCTCCCAAGCGCTGTGGTTACAGCCATTGATTTGTTGTTTTTCTGTTTTGTTGTTTTTCTGTTGAGTCACGGTCCGTCATGCAGCCCAAGCTGGCCTTGAACTGCTCTTCCTACCTCAGCTTCCAAGTGTTAGGATTACAGGTCCGCACCCTCATGTCCTACCTAGCAAGTACTTTTTACTTGCACATACAGGGAATAAATGAGAAGACGCTAGAGAGCAGAGAGCCCGTGGGACCAAGCCCCAGTGCTTGTCAGGGTCTGTGTCTGTCCTTGGAAAGAAGAAACAACTCGCTTGCTTTGCACCAAGGGAGAGTTATTGCTGAAATCAGGGTAGTAACCAACTTCAAACGGCCCTGGTGGAAGCTGGGTACCCCACAACAAGGTTCCCGCTACCCCCGGACAGGCCGGGTTCCTCCAGAATCCCATCTGTGGTGGTAAGGTCAGTCCCAAGACTGATGGTCACCAAGCATTCGCATGGTGACCACCTGGATTCGAGTGACAGAACTCAGTTCTGCCCACAGTGAGTGTAGAGGGACAGGCCAGGGGTCTTCATGGAGGTAGTGGCATGGAAGGGACCATGGCTGGCCTGTGGCCTGCAGGGGGAGGGCAGGCAGACTGAATGATTGGCAGAGGTCATGGCTCAGTGGCAAAGGCTAGCCTGGAGAGCGCTGGAAGCAGTGGCTACCATGTGAGGTGGGAACCTGGGGGACAGATCCCTCTCAGTGGCTTTGCTAATTCCCAGGGCTCTGGCTCGTTCAGAGTCTCTCTGCTGCATGTATTAGGTGGGGACATTTACAACAATTTTGTGGGGATTAAGAAAAAAACCAATGTTCCTGTGCCATTGACACTGTCACCCTCCATAGTGACAATAAGGAAATGGCTCAGCACCGAATGCTCTTCCAGAGGGCCCAAGTTCAATTCCCAGCACTCAACGGTGACTCTTTATTCCCAGGGGATCCAATGCCCTCATCTGGCCTCTGGCGCACAGACAGATGTGCAGACAAATACTCATACACATAAAATAAAAATAAGTAAATCTGTAGATGAACTTCATTGAGCTCACAAGCCTGGGAACCTGTGGTTTGGGGGTTGTTTTCAGCTGGCTTTGAGGATCCTGGACTTCAGCTTTGCTGGGATGAGGATCCTAGAGGGTCTAGGGAAGATGCCATTTGCCATGACTCCAGAGTCCATTTTTGCATCCCCTCCAGCCTTGCAGTCTGTCCTACCTGTTGGCAGAGTGGCGCTCCTATTGGGCCACCCTTCCCTGAGGCCCTATACCCATGTTTTCCAGCTAGGGGTGGGGGTGTGATGCATTACCCAAACAAGACTGTTGGCATCCTCTGAACAGCTGTACAGGGCCCCCTCCCTCCCACCCCTACAGGTGACTCCTCTGGGTGGCCAGCCCATCTAAGGGAACCTTCCTGCTTTATCAGAGCAGTGTGTCCTTTACTTGGATGGACCTTGTGTCTATTAGATGCCTGCTTTCTGCTCACCTTTTCCAGAACACTGGGCCAGGAGGCAGAGATGAAGCAGAGATGTGTTCTGGAGATGAGACTATGGGCAGGAAGAGTGAAGGCCAGCATATGAGGATTCTCTCCAGGAAGCCATCACCTAAGTGAGGTGTCCTGTGACTTCTGCTGCCTATGCTCTGCTCTGCAGAGCAGTGTCCCCTACCCCAGCAGGTTCCTCATGTCCTTCCCAGTACTGACCTCGTAAACTCCCACTGCGGGCTTCTCCAAGTGTTTTATCAGAGGGGAGACTCCTGGGTGTGCACAGTGGAAAGCGGGTGGCCATGATAAGCCAGCCCTGCCAGCCGTTTGATAGCAAGCAGGCAGAGGCACAGTGTCGGACCTCAGGGAAGGGTGGCCCAATAGGAAGGACAGGCATCAGCAATGGAAGGTAAGAGCCTTTTCCAGGGTCAGCATACAGGATCCCCACCTCTGTCACCCAAAAGCAAGAGAGGAGACGAATTGGCTCTGCCTGCCATGCTGGTCTTCTCTGGGGCTGAGTGGCAACTTGCCTCTTGCCACTTAATTTCTCTAGGATCACTTCAAAGCCATCAAGTAATTTGTAACCATTCAGGCCTTTTGAGAACTTGAGCCTGGGTTAGATTCTGTTGTGGGGCTTCAAACCAAGGGCTACCTCTGTCCTCCAGCTGTGTGTTCCTGTAGTGGGGTGCAAGCCAGTGACCTTTAGGGCATGGGAGCCCCAGGCTCTCTGTAGCCTTGTCTACTTAGGGTGGATACAAAGACAAGTATGGTTATTTAAAACTATTATTTTTTACATTTGATTTATGTATTTACTTAGTGTGTTCATGCGTAGGATGCACACATGCTCCTGGCACACATACGGAGGTCAGAGACGACTCTGAAACTCTTGACTGAGTGGCCCCTTGGCTTCTGTGTGGGAGGGGCTACATAGATATTCTGGTTGCTATAATGAAGAGTCACCTTTGTCACTGAAAGGTGTGTAGAATTAATGAAAATGGAGTTTTTGTTCTGCCTCGGGACACTGGGTGAGATCTTAGGCTCTGAGACTCCCTTTGGGAGTCGCATACCCTGACAGCCAGCCTCACCACATGCTGGTTTCTGATCTGTGCAGACAGTGTGGTCACCCCGACTGCCCCAGGATGTGGCTCCCATCTTGATAGCTTTGTACCACACAGAACTGTACGGAGCTGCCGGCCCTTCAGAGAGCAAGGTCGGGCTGGCTCCAGCAGCTTCTTATCTTCTGCTCCTCCTCAGCAGGGCAGCCGCAGAACTTCGATCTCTTGGTGATTGGTGGGGGATCCGGTGGCCTTGCTTGTGCCAAGGAAGGTATGTACTTTGTATTTTGTGTCCTTTCTGGTGTGTTTGGGCCTTGAAGCTCTTAGTTCTCCTAGGTAAAGGTGGCCCTGTGGGGATAGGCCATGTACCCAGAAGCAGATGCTATGGAATAAATGTTTCCTATAATCTGGGATCCACACAGATCCTGAATCTGGTCTCCTCTGAGAGTGCCATAGTCCCATCCCTATTTGTTTGTCTTAAATTTAGTTTTATTACTTTTAAATTACATTGGCATGCCTCTGTGTAGGGGTATGTGGTTGTGAGTGCAGGTTCTTGTGGAGTCCAGAAAGAGGGCACCAGATCCCCTGGAGCTGGAGTTACAAGTCATTGTGAGCCATGGGACATGAGTGCTGGGAATTAAACTCAGGTCCTTTGCAAGAGCAGTCTGCTCTCTTAACTACTAAGCCATCTCTCCAGCCCTATATTTTGATTTTGTTTCTGAGGTGGAATCTCACTTTAGTGACATAGAATTGACAGATATTAGACCAATACATTTTTAAAGTGGATAATTTGAGGCTGAGCCTGATCATGAATGTCTGTGATTCTGGCTATTCAGGAGGCTGAGGCAGGAGGATCACTTGAGTCTAGGAGCTTGAGATCAGCCTGGGTAACAGGGAAACCCTGTTTCAAAGTATATAAGAATCAATAAGAGCCAGGCGTTGGTGGTGCACGCCAGCACTTGGGAGGCAGAGGCAGGCGGATCTCTGTGAGTTCGAGGCCAGCCTGGTCTACAAGAGCTAGTTCCAGGACAGCCTCCAAAGCCACAGAGAAACCCTGTCTTGAAACCCCCCCCCCAAAAAAAAGAATCAATAAGAATCGAGTGCAGTTTGACAGTGAGTGTATCTGTGAAACCTGCACTGTGGTGAGGATGGTGACTGTTCCCCATGCCTCTCACCAGCCTGTGGGCTGTGGTTCTGGACGCCAGCAGTGTAAGACCAAAGCGTCAGCAGGGCTGGCTCCTGGCTTCCGTCCTTGGCTGATAGGTGGGTGACTCCCCTGTATCTGTGCCCTAATCTCTCCTTACAGAACCAGTGAGTTAGACAAGGGACCACCTGTGGCCCAGTGTGACTCGTCTACAAATGTAGTCATCACCCTTGGCACTGAAGGTTAAGACTCCACATGGGTTTGGATGTGTGGGGGCGGAGACAAAGCTCAGGCTATTACAATGTCCAGCTTCCATAGACCATGGTAACGCCTTCCTGCCTTTCCTCTCTATACCTGGAGGCGATTACTGGCCTGCTTTTTCCCTCTGTAGGTTGCTTGTCGTTTGCTAAGAGTGGAAGCCACTCCGTGTGCTTAACTACTCTGGTTCCTTTCACTCAGTGTCACTATTTTTTAATATGTGTTTTTACTATTTTAATGGTGTGTGTCTGTATGTGGGTATGTGTACACATGTGTAGGAGCCTTCAGTGGCCAGAGATGTCCAATTTCTCTGGGACTGGAGTTGAAGCTTGTAAGCTCCCTGACATGAGTGCTGGGAATTGAACTTGAGTCCTTCAGAGGAACAGTCTGTGCTTTTAACCATTGAACCATCTCTCCAGTCTTATCCATTCACCAAGCGAATGTAGTTTGTTCTTATTTGTTGTGTTATGACAGCACATGACAGATCATGTCTTGTTTGTCTGCTCACCTGCATGTGGACATGTGTACTTTTTTAAATGTGTGTGACTGTTTTGCCTGTGTATATCTGTGTGC